ACAAGAAACACAAGAAAAACCCGCTTCCAACAACTTAACCCAAAGGTTTATTTTAACGTAAACCACTGCACTAATGTTTCAAATTTTGAAAAACTTCCCATACAGGAAGAAAGCTAAAAACACTCAAATGACAGATATATTTTAACAATTATTTAACTGAACAAATCAGCTTTAAAGCCACAACATAACCAGTGCTAGGTAAGTCTTTTTTGCAGCTATTTTTCTTTGTATGGTGTTCTTAGTATGTTTGATATGGTGATACGTGGAGGCGTTGCAGAGACAAGGGTGGAACAAAACCGAGAAATACCGGCTGTTTCTCGGTAACTCGATTTTGACGCTTTGTGTTTCGTGCTTCGCATGTGTGACTCCACTGCCTTAATTCCCATCGTTCCGAGCTTGAATCGCTTCTTGCACAAAATCCACTGAGCCTCATGTATGTTCCCTGGTACTGGTTTTAGAAAGGGAGAAAACTCTTGGCTGGAGACAATTTTCATTACATTTACACTTGCTCATATTTTCCAGACAAAACCTTAATGTTGCATCTCCCAAATGTCCCGGCCGCAACAAAGCTTTTATTGGTTCCGCTATCGGGACGAAACCAATAATGGCGAGCCGGTATTTTTTTTTTTATAAAAAAAAAAAAAGGTCAACTTTAATGTAAGACATTTTAATACCAATTAAGGCCTTAGTTTTATTTTGAAGAATTCAATGCCTTTTAAGACTTTTTAAGGACCCGCGGGAACCCTGTGTTAGGACTCTGGTACGTGATGCGTCACATGACGCTCACTGGATCTGACATCGCTGTTCTGGCTGGGTCAGAGTTGTTTATCGAGAACAACTCTGACCAACAACTCTTGCAGATTTTGTTGGATTGTAGCACTTTGAGCTGTAGTGTTGAATTAAGTTGTACTGAAGTGTTTTTCATGTACACACAGTAAATATATCAGTATATTAATTGGGCGGGCTGTTGTGCGATGTGGCGGTTTTGAACAGATGTTTGGGCTGGAAGACCTGGACTATCTGGCAACACTGCTGGTGTTTCTATTGTTATTATTACTACTGTTAATTTTCCCATTATCACAGCTGGCATGTATTGTTATGGATATTGTTTTTTTCATAGCCTAAAAATCTAAATAAAAAAAAAAACTAAAAATCTTTATATAGAATTTTTGTTTTGTGCAGCGAAGGGGTGAGATTAAATGAGGATGGTCTTCCAACTCATTTCAATAAAGACTTTTCTTCTTCAGTCGTCTCTCTCCTATTGTTTCTCATTTATTTTTAATCATATTGACTTATATTCAAATAAAAACTAGTTTAGAACATTAGAAAAAGTTTGATTAAGTTAAATTATCCTGAGAACCGTAACGGAAACTGGAACATAAACCATTTATAATTAACATTTTATTCATTTATTATAAGATTCCTTTACTGGATCAGGATATCACTACTTTCTGCCAATTTTTCCATTTCTTTCTGGACTACTTTCTGGTCCAGCAGGGACAGGGAACTCAAGTTCTGCTTTTTGGCAGCTGGGATGAACATTAATAAATAAAATATTCCAGATAAGCAAATGTGGAATATTCTATTTATGGAAAACATTCCTTAATAAATGATAAATATAAACTATATTAAATTATTGTTTTTTATAAAGCATTTGAAAAAACATATATAAATCCATTTAAATGTTTAAATTATTCATAAACAGGGGGGAAGCTTTTAATATAAAATACATTTGAGTATAAGCATCTCCACAAATGACACATAAAGCAATGAAATGTGTAAAGCAGGAGCCAGACCAGATTTTTGTTTTTTTTCCCTGGTTTTTCTTTCCTTGCTATGCAGCCAATGCGAGGGTTGCTTTTTTTTTGAGGGTTGCAAAGTTTCTGCGTGCAGTAAACCTAAAAAGGGCTGTATGGTAATGTTCATGTTATGGGATTTTAATCCTGCCATGCTGGAGGAAGCTGCTGCCAGGGATTCAGGGTTTGAGATGACAGAGGATTCCAGATCAAAATACTCCAGGAGGGAGAAAACTGTGCAAAATCGTACTGAACATTGATCTCATCATCTAAAAGATAAACTTGCCTTTAAGGCTTTAATATCATGAGAAACAGAAGTTGTGTTAAATATATCTGAGCAAATGCAGATATTCAGAGTTTCCCTCTGAGCTTCACCATCAAAGCCTGTTTTCCAGTGAGGTAATTATTTTGCTGGTAAACTGCCAACCAGGTTATTATATCCATATTTAAATGTTTGAATTGTTCATTTCATTATTCATTGAACCATTTATATAGAATCTGATCTATTTTTTAAGCATAAACTGCTGTCCTTTTTTATTTGATGAATTTATTTTTTCTTCCATTTAAAACCTTTGGCCATCTGTAAATATCAGATAGTGAAGTTCTCTACCGAACATCCCAGAGTTCTGTGTTTTCTTACAGCAGAACCGTTTTACTGTAGAGAAAAAACCGTTTCAGGGAACTGTGTTTACCAGATCTGGTTTTGGGAAGTCCTGGTGCGTTCTGGATGTAGTCCGGAGTAGCGATGGCACCAATCTTCTCTCTCACTGCAGACAAACACAATAAGAGCAGAATCTCTCAGGTCATGGCATACAGAGACATGACAGCAGCTGGTAAAAAAAAACCTTTTTAGAGGTTTATTTGTCTGACCCACCTTGTTTCCTGAGCTCCGCCTCCAGCGCTTGGTTATACGCCACACCGTCAGTAAGAGTGACGAAGCAGTAGAGACTCTCTCCTTTCACAGGATGAGGTCTGCTCACTACGGCAGCTTCGGCGACAGCTTTATGCTCCACCAAAGCCGACTCAACCTCTGCTGTGCTTAACAGGTGACCTGGAGGACAAACACCAGGAAATAATCAGTGGAGAAAGCCTTCCAAAACGTACAGTCCAAAATTGGTTTAATTTCACAAGCTTGGCAACAATCATGTTCTTATCTCCTGCAAAAAGCAACAAACTGAAGGGTTTGTTAAAGTGATTTATAATGTTTCTGTGGATGAAAGCTGCCTGTTCTCTCTGGTCATACGTGGGTTCTTCTGCTTCCTCTCACGGATCAAAACATGGCTGCATCATTTAATAACAGATCATTTGGAATGACTGAAAATAATGTCAAAAATGTATAACTTCAACTCCAAATATTTAAAGACTCCATTGGAACCTAGGGCTGGGCGATATAGAAAAAAAGCTTATCGATAAAAAAAAATTCATATTGATCGATAT